TACCATGTGGGACCTCTGCAATAGAGCTGCTGCATTTTATGGGGTGAAAGCTCTCTGCAGGGGACCTGCCCTGCCATCCTTCTGGCTGAAAGCCAACATGCTTGTATTAGCCTCTTCTTAAAATATGTTTGGGGTTATTTTGTTTTCTCCATAGAAAATTGCATATCCTTCTGGCTGAAAGCCAACATGCTTGCATTAGCCTCTTCTCTTCTTAAAATATGTTTGGGGTTATTTTGTTTTCTCCATAGAAAATTGCAGGCCTGCCTGCTCCCTGTTGGAAGCTCACCCTGCCCTTGGGTGACATGTGGCCCCCACCCTCACACCCAATGACCACCTGCTGGGTCTTTGCTGTCCCTCTGGGAATGCAGCAAATGTTCCTCTGGTCACAGCGATGTGAACATGGGTGTCCCATACCAGTACAAGCCAACTGCCCTCTGGCCTGGGTAAAAATCTAGGGGGCCATGGAGGGGTACTCCCAATCAGATATCCTATTATAGGATCATGTCTCTGGGGAGTGAAGGTTCCTGGATCCTTTGCACCAGTGGCTGCCAGCTTCCACAGCTATTGTTTATGTTTTCCTTACTGCACAGATCCTCCACCTCTTTTGCAGATGCTCTTTAGCCGGATTTCCTCTTTCTTTGGGATTTACATTCCCATGCTATCATTGTTTCCCCAGGCTTTCTGCTTTGCAGTGTCAGCAGGGAAGTATCAACGTGCCCCTGTCACCCTCCTTTCGTCATCCCAATCGCCACCTCCAAAATTCTCCAACTGCAGTGGAGAATTTTGACTCTTCTGGGGTCCCTAAAGTTTCATTCCCTTCTGATGTGGGGTGCACATACCCCTGCATGAGGGTGACCATGGCTGGAGCACAGGGCTGGTGTCTGACCATATGGAGGCTCAGCTCTGCAGACAAAGGAAGTCGCCAGTGCTGGCAGAGTTGCTGCCTGGCTTCCCACTATTGTTCCCAGTGGCAAATAAAAGGGGGGTGAACGCCCCTGCTGAGCATTGTAGGAGGGGGTAAATGTTATCTTGATAAAATCTCATGGCCCCTCTCTGAGCAGCTCGTGCCTCTTTCATGCTTGTCTCCCTCTCTGCCTATTCTTGCATCCCTGGTACTTGTGGCTCTGCACGGCAAGTTTTGCTCATCCCTCAGAGAGAATCACAGAATAGGTCAGGCTGGAAGGGCCCACAGGGGGTCATCTCCTCCTTGCCCAACTCCCTGCTCTAGCAGGATCATCCCAGAGCACACTGCACAGGATTGCATACTGATGGTTCTGGAATATCTCCAGTGAGGGAGACTCCACAACCTCTCTGGGCAGTCTGTTCCAGTGTGCAGTCACTGCACTTCCTCATGTTCAGGTGGGACTTGCTGTGCATCAGTTTCTGCCTGTTGCCTCTTGTGCTATTGCATGGCACCACTGAGAAGAGCCTGGCTCTATCATTCTGACACCCTCCCTTCAGGTGCTGATAGACATTGGTGAGGTCCCCTCTCAGTTGTCTCTTCTCAGGGCTGAACAGGCACAGCTCCTTCAGCCTTTCCTCATAAGAGAGATTCCCCAGTCCCCTCATCATCTCCGTAGCCCTCTGTTGGACTCACTCCAGGAGCTCCATGGCTCCCTTTTACTGCTGAGGAGCCCAGAACTGGACACTGTAGGAGACACACACTGCTCTCCCTCTCAGGCAGCTGTAAGGAAGGAGTTAGTAATTTGCATTATATGCCTTAAACAAGGGCTTGGTGGTGAACTTGTTGCAGAAGAAAAGTCACGAGTGCCTCTGCACAACCCATGAAGGAAGCAAGTTTTCAGTTTTGGTTCAGTTGAACTGAACCAAAACTTTTCAGGTCAAAGTTCAGCTGTGGTGTGTTGGATAAGAAGTGAACTACTGTGCAAGTGCTAGAAGTGGGCTCACAAACAGGACACTTGTTTTTTGAGGTCCTTGTCTCACACAACCCCCAGAACAGACCCCGGTGACCATCGAATGAAGATCTGAGTGTGTGCGATGGCAGAGCCATGCCTACTCTTGCCTCACATGCTAATGTGGAACTGAAAGTCACTTCTACCTCTGCTCTTTACCCAAATAAGGGACTGCATAAGAGTTATTCGGGAAATAAAGTGTGCTGGATGAGACCGCACCATCAAGAACCCAAGGCACAGAAGGACCAACGGGAGGCTGCTAGATCCATGGAGGTGACTCCCTTCTACTTGCTCTGTCTTGCTGCTTCTCCCTCTCTCTCTTTCTCTCTCCCTTTCTCTTTTCCAGTTGAGATTAATTTTGCAAAATAAAGTCGGCATTGTTGAACTGGCATTTAGGCTCCTTTCCACCTTAATTTGGGCAGAGTGAATCAATCATAACATTTTAATGGGCACCACCATTTTCTGACCCAAAGTGCCGTTCAACAGTTCCGAACTTTTACTCTTCTTCCCGCCTGGTGGGAGATTGACCCTTTGAGGGAGGTTGAATCTCTAAGGGAGATTGAGCAAGCCTTTACTGTTACTTTTACTGTCCCTCTGTGGGTGACAGCTCTTTTCTGCCTGCTGTGCCCAGATTGTCTCCCTCTGAGGGAGACCGAAGGAAAAATGGTTATCAAGGGTGACCAATGTAAAGCTGAAGTTTTACTCTCTCCTGGAGAAATTTGCTTCTCTCCTCCAGGGTTGGAATGGGCATAAACTGATTGTGATAATGTGCAAGCAATAGCTGACCACAGTACTAGTTTGCAGGTTGAATGAAAAATGGGATGAGGAAAAGGTAAATTGCCCATGAAAGGTAAGAAGGCAAGTTATTTCTGCAGTTTTGGGAGGTTGTTTATCTTGCGTGCAAAAATCAAAAGCTTCCTGCCACCTGAAAAGGGTTGCAGATGTAAAATTTGAGTTTGAAGTCAGAAAAATGAGGTTCTTAGAACAGCATTGTCTTTTGAGAAAGAGACACAGGAGAAATTGTAAAAACTAGTAGATATTCTTTTAAATAAAAATGAGCAATTAGAAAAACTACTGTCTGCAGCTGAAATATGAGAAAAACAAATGCAGAAAAATCTAGGTAAATTACTAAAATCCCACATGAATCATCCTCTAATTCAGTCCAGCCCATCTATAGGGTGGTATATTGTGAGGGTCCTGAAACATGGAATGGGAACATTTGGTACAGTGATGATGATTTAGAGGCAGACTCTCACCCTACCCCAAAAGCAGTAAAAGTTCAGCCTTTAATTGAAACTGAAACTGTAGATGAGGGGGGTGGAGAAACCCATACTACTGCTCCCTGCAGAGTAAGATACATTGCTGGAAGAACATTCTAGATGTTCAGGGGAATACAAAACGGAGAGTTTCTCTGCCTTTTGGGCAGAGATCAGATCTTGCTGAGTGAGGAAGAGGCAGTAAGATTCTGGTGACATAAGTAATTTTAACTACTACCCAGGTAACCATAACTACTCATTGACTACCTGAGCTGCCTGCTGGGCTGGGGGCACAGACCCACAGGACACAGGAAAGACTGCTGCTGTTTAAAACGACAGGATTCTCAGATCTGGCAGCCTCTGTGCAAAAGGCAGTGTGTATTTAAGCAAGGTATGAAAGACATCAGTGAAGGAGAGTCCTGATGGTAGCTCCTGTCAATCCAGCCCTATTAACTCCTTCCCTTCCTGGCCTTCCAGATAGGCTGAAAATGTTTGCATCAAATGCCCAAGATCACATACAAATGGATGGCACCATGAATATTACTGCAGCAGTGGCACAACCACCTATAGACCAAATTCACATACCTACCTGGTGTGAATTCACCCAGGAAATAGGGAATTATGAGTGCCATATGGGATGGGTTGGAGCACACTCTGGGAAGCCACCTGAACCCCCTGGTGAGTCTGTCAAATTTATACCAGTAAAGCAAAGCCAAAATCTAAAGCAACACTTGATTCAATTAACAATACCTGCAGGTATTGATAAGGTGGTGACAGAACTAAAGTTTTCTGTGTTACACTTGGGAAGTGAAAGATAGCCTAAAGCAATACTTGATTCAATTAACAATACCTGCTGCTGCAGGTATTGATAGGGTGGTGACAGAACTAAAGTTTTCTGTGTTACACTTGGGAAGTGAAAGATAGTTCTGGAAAAATACATAAAATTATTGTCAGATGGATAATGCCCTGTCTTTAACCCACTGTGCACTGGTTAGAGAGAAACTGAGCAATTCTGTTTTATGGTTTTTCCAGGTTATAGGGATCCTACATATTAGAAACTACACCTAGAGCTGAGGGTTCTCCTATTCCAACTTGAGGCATCCATGGGAGTTTGTAGCTTTTCTGCACACTATGTCTTGGGGGTTTGAATTTGTGTATGTATCTCTAAGTTTTGTTTCCAAATTTAACCAAGTAATGAAGGTTAACAAGTATGGCATTTATAAACTGTGTTGGAAAGATATGCCTTGGTTTAATATGTTTACACTTAATGAAAATAAGCAATTACTGCTTGTTTGCTTTTGCCTAAGTCTGTAGAAGACCGTCTTCTCATGGGTATATTTACCGAGACTGGAATACCCAGGATACAGTTCAGACAGCAAATCCTTACTCCCCAGATAAAAAGCCAGTTACTGTGCAATTTAGCCAGCCATTCAATTTTGCTCCAATATTTGAGAAGGGGACCCTGGGCTCTGTATTATCCCTGGGGTGGCTGCAGGGCAGCAGTGTGATGTGAAGGTGTGTACAGGTGTGCTGTGGACACAGCAGTGTGGTGGGAAAGAGACCCAGTGCCAGAAAACACCATCCCCAGCACTGGTTCCTGCTGGTTCCATGCTCAGCCCATGGAGATTTCGCAACAGTTTCAGCATCCTCCACAGCAAACAAATTTCCCATGCCTGCTGGACTTTATGACCCCTTGCTTATGGGAAACACCTCTGAGGAAGGAGTGCTTATCAGAACTTCTCCTTTCTCCAGGATGTTTTAGGGAAGGGTAGAAGCTGTCTACCAGTTGTCTGTGCAGCAGCAGGAGCACTCAGGTGCTCTCTGCAGGGCTTGGGAGGGGGACTGAAGGACAAATAGTTTCCTGAGCCTTGACCTCCTCCTCTGTCTCCCTTTTCCACTTGACTTTTGGAGTCTTACAAATCAGGAGCACTGTCTACTGATTTACATCGTAGCTCTTACCTGGGAAGAAGACAGCAGGGGTGATACTCTCCTGTGAGGACATTTCTGTATTTAAAGGTTAGGGAGGAGGGGACTATTGAACCTGAAGTGGCCTGGTGTGTGGCTCCTCAGGCTAAAAGGTTTGGGTCTAGATGGGACTTGAACAGGAGGCTGCAGAGAGCTGCCACATATGGCTACTGCAATCCACACAGCTGACTCTAGAGCCCCAAGAAGGGAAGGAGCTTGGATGCCACTGTGTCACTCCTGCAAAGTTCACTCTGTAACTCATGCCATCTAGAGGGAAGGTGTTGGTTGTCCTCTCCTCCAAGCCTCTTTGAACCCTTCCTTGGAGCACTGTGGGGAAGGATGGTGGAGACCATGTTTTCCTCCTGGTATGGATTTTGGAGCTGCCCCTTACCACAGAAGGAAGGAGCTAGGATGTTCTTTTGGGTGAGCTGTTACACACAGGAAAGAATTGAACATGGTGGTCACACCTCCTTGGCCAGCTGGGAAGATGTTTGTCCTATCTCATGTCTACAGTAGCACCTCTGAGGGCTTTGTTCTTCCATTGGGAGCCCACCAAGGAGGCTGACACTTGCTATTATTTCCGGGAATCCCTAGTAAGAAGTGCACATATGGAGGTTTTTTCCTAGGATCAAAGTCTTCTGGCTTAATAGCAGCCGTTGGAGCTTTGCAGAGGCAGGAGTCATGTTAATGTGTAAGCCACAGAGAAGTTTAGAGCTGCAAGGTCCTATGTGCAAAGCATTTCTGAGCTAAACTGCTGGTGTCTCCCTGCCTGGTTGCTCTGCTCTCTGAGGAAAATGACTGTAAGGGCTGCTGCTCCTGTCCTCTGCCACCCAGGGTCCTCAGCTCAGCAAGGCTGGGTGAGACTGGCAAGTCATAGCCACTCTCACCACTTGCATTTCTTGAGGAGCATTGGCTTTCCCCCAAACCCTGGACAGCATCCCTCTGCTTTAACCCTCTTTCTATCTCTGCTGTCCTGCTTTCTCTTCATTCTGCTGAGAACAAGCCACTTTTCACTTCCTCTCTCTCTGATGTCTCTTCTCTCTTGCGGGTTTCACTCAGCCCACTCTTCTCTCACTGAATGAGAAGTTCACACTAGACTTGCAGTGTGGAGGGTTTTGTCATGAGAGCACCAGCTGAGAGCAATATATGTTCTCCTGGCTGGGATGCCCCCAAGCAGCACCCTCTCAATTGCAGTGGCAAGTCAGGAGGAATGGCTGAAGGAGCCCCACAGACTATTTTTCTCTGCCTTAGGGAAATATTGAAATCTTAAACCTGAATATGAAGCCTGGGAACACCCTGAAGGTGAAGGGCAAAATATCTGCTGATACTGTTGGGTAAGTACAAAGAAACCACCTTGGCACGCCAGGGTTGAAGGTGGGCTATAGAGGAAGGTGGTTTTCCAAGGTTGCCAGATACAAAATAGCACGATGTTATACCACCTGTAACACTGATGGAGGAACTGGGTTCAGAGATGTGTGTTGGATCTCAAGTCTTCCAAGACCCTCTCCTGTCCATGCATATGACTTTCCTCATGCTCATTTATAGCTTCAGCATCAATCTTGGGTGCAGCTCAAGAGATCTGGCATTTCACTTCAATCCCCGCTTCAATGAGTCTGTCATCGTCTGTAACTCCAAGTGCTCCGATTCCTGGCAGACAGAGCATCGTGACCGCCACCTCCCTTTCTTCAGGGGCTGCACTGTCAAGGTGAGGGTGCCAACATGGCCTAATGGGGTATGTGTGGTGTGGGGGCTATGGGCTGTGAGGGGAAGTCCCTGGTTAGCAGATTCCCATGCCATGGTTTTCCGGGTCCCACCCAATACCTCCTGCTCCCTCACCATGGCCCCTCTTCTGGGTTTTTGGTCCTGATTGCCATTTCCACTCCTCTTTCAAAACTGCAATGCTGTTTCTGGGAATTTTAAGTGACTCATGTCTGTCCCAGAGTGACTCATGTCTGTCCTGGCCCTCCGTCTGCCCAGCAGGTGAGTGTACCCAGGGCATGTATGAAAGTAAAGGCAATCTCCAAGAAGCATGGTTTTGCTGCTGTTAACCTTATTTCTCTCCCTCCTTCCTATGTAAACACAGGCTTTAAGGCAACCCCGAGTTTGGAGCAATGTCCAAAAGCCTCTCCCTCAACTCTTCTGTCCTAATTACTCCTGGATCTATGCTGCCAATCTGTCCTTTCCCTCTTCCTGCCAGCAATGCTGTCCTATTTGCTGCCTCACCTTATCTGATGTCCCAAATCACTAGCAGAGCTGCATTTAGTAGTCCAGTTGCTATAGCTGTAGAGAGAAAGCTTGTTTCCTCAGACAGAACTGGCTCTTGGGGAAGGGATAGTGAGGTGACAGCTTTGGGGAGCATTGCCTTTAGATTTCAGTGACCAGTGATGCATTCTTGCCCGGTCTGCTTGTGCATGTTTATCAGCAAAGCTCCTTTTTCTGAGTCCTGGTGAGCTGCTGAGGGCATTGGGGGGTCAGGTTTATTCTGCCTTGTTCAGAGGAGAACAGTGGTGTACACATTCCATGTGCTCTCTGAATACATGTAAAGACATACCTGGGTTTAGCTCTGAGTTTACAGTCTGAGAGGCTGAAACAGCCTCAGAAGAGATCCTGTTCCCATTCATAGTCTGTATTCCTGCTTAGACCCTTGATATCAACTGCTCACTTCCCGAGTCACCCTCACCTCAACCCCCAGCACCTTGGTTAAAGTTATAGTGGACAGGTCTGACCCTCTCATGTAACAGTCAGGCCTTTTGCCTAAATGCTGACCTCTGAATACCCTCCTTGCCCCCAATTCCTGCCCTTCTTTCTCTTTTTTCTCCCAGTTCTTCATTGAAATGCTGTCAGACAAATTCCGTGTGAAGCTGCCGGATGGCCATGAAGTGTGCTTCCCCAACCGGCACGGCTACCGCAACATCAACTACGTAAGCATCATAGGAGGCCTCAAGATCATCTCCTTCAAGCTGAGCTGATGGGCACTGCCTCCTAGCTCTAATAAAAACCCAAGCCAGTAGAATATTGCTTGTTCCAGCTGCTTTGTCTTCTGTGAGAGCTCTGTGTCCCTGTGCAAGCCCCTGACAAAGCCCAAGGTTCCCCACCAATAGGAAAGAAGCCATTGTTGGATTATGCCAGGTACCCTCCAGGGCAGAACAGGCTGTGGGGTTGAAGGGATAGTAGGCAGGCCAAAGCAGGCTGTAGGTGGGGTCCAGGATGAGGACACTCTATGATTGCTGGGGAAATGGTTGTGTAATCTTTTCACAAAGCTCCATTACTTCCTGCAGCTGAGCTTTTGGGAAGGGGGGATGGTGAAATGGGAAGGAAGGCTTAAATGTAAATGAAGGGCATTTGATGTGGCATTAGGTGCTACAAAAGTGCATCATTAAAAGGTGGCATGGGTGACAGCACCAGTGTACCCCCAGCCAGCATTCCTGTCACAGATAAGGGATTGTCTCCAACTTTCCCTTCTAGCTCACCTCACTTATCTGCTGGCACATTACGGTCAGGTTAGCCATTACTCTGACATTTCCACAGAGGATCCTACTCATCAAAAATGAGGCAGTGGGATTTGGGCTGAGTTATGTGCCTCAGTACCTCCTTGCACAGGACTACAGGCAAATAGACCCAATTACGACATGCTGCTGCTCTAATTGAAAAATATCTTGCCAGTCCAAAAGTGAGACTGATGTGTGACAGCAAACATTGGGACACTTTGAGCTGGGTGGGAGGAGAGCAGAGTAGAAGAGCATCTTACAGAGAGCCTGGTCCAAGGCAAGGTGTCAGTGTCCTTGCCCTCCCTCTCCACTTGCTCACTGCCTCAGATGGAGGGATTGGTGGCTGGGGCTCCAGCTGCCATAGCAAGGAAGACAATCAGGGCACAGCAGCCAAGGGGACGCACCAGAGAAGTTAGTATCAAAACTGTTTTAATGAGGACAATAATAAGTGCATGGGATACAGAAGAGAGGCAGAAAGGATAATTCCACAGATTGGGTCTTTGGTTTTGTGTTATGGTCTGGGAAGCAGAGGGCAGAGGAGAGCTCATCCTGAGAGCCCAGGTGCCCACCCTGGAAGGTGCAAGGGAGGATAAGGCTGATCCTGCTGGCTGCCAGTGGCAGCCCCTTGGGGAGGCTGGGGAACATGGGCTTGCCCTTAACCTTGGTGGTTTGGCTGCAAGTGGCACTTCCACGTGCAGCACGTGCACACCCTGCAGCTCTCCATCCTGCTCTGAAGAGCTTCCTGGCAGAGGCAGCTGGGTGGTGGGTGAGCTGCGTGGGAGCAGAGTCCTGCAGCCACGGCCCAGCATCTCCTCCCACTGCACACGCCCTCCTGTCCCAGAGAACAAGGGGGGTCCTGTGAGGGTCCCTCCGCTGACCTCAGCCCCCGAGCATGCTGGCTCCACACCACGGCACAAAGGCGCTTCTATGAGGGCCGGTTTGCACGCGGGCCAGCGTGGGGGACAGCTCATTCCAGGGCGGCTGTGTCACCCAGGGCCACTCGGCAAGGGACATCAGCCACGGTGCACATTGCCCTCGGGAAGGGGCGTGCTGCAAAGAGGGATGTGTGTGTGGGGAATGGGCAGGGGGACAAAGATGGAGACACAAACTGCGCCACCACCGCGAGGATGGCGGCACAAACTGAGGGGCTGCAGAGGAATCTCCTTGTTCTGAGGCAGGGGGGAAAGAAAGGAATCAGTGGGAATACCTTTTAGGGCCTGAACTGCAGAATTTGGTGACCTGACAACTTGCCTTTGCCACCAGTCAGCCAAGAAGTTTCTCCCCTCTCAGTTGCTGAGGGGAGTGTGGGTCATGAAGGAAGCTGTCCTAAATGGTGCCCAGCAGCAGGAGGCAAGTGGAAACATTCCTGATTATATCTGTGCATGCTGTCACCTCCTGAACACCGAGCACACAGCTTTTTGGGGAGGGCAGGGGAAAAGAGAAAGCTCAGCTCTGTGGGGTTTACCTGCCCTTGGGACCCCAGCTGACCTTCCCCTGTTGATAGATGTGCTATTCTGAAGGGTCTTGCACCAGCTGGAGCTGGGGAAACCCCATCCCCTACGTGCCAGAGCTATCAGTGGGAATATCTCTGGGGAGGCATGTGTGCCATTGCAGAGGATGGTAGGGGACATCAGTGGAAGAATGGAGTATGTCCCCAGACATGCTGGTGGAGCTAGGCTGAGGATTGAGAGAGAGGGTGCTGGGGAGAATGGGATGGGCTAGGAAGGATTGGGGGTTCCTTTGGCACATGGGAATGTTCCTTTGATGTCTAATGGCCGTGAGGCTGGAGAAGGGGTGCTATGCCTGGCTCTGTGGAGCCCACTGGCCCTCTGCAGCAGCCTGGCCCAGCCCCAGGGAGCCCCCCAGGACATGGGCTCTCCTCCTGCCCTCCCCGGCCTGCCCAGTGCCCCCACTGGGTCTGCTGGTGACACCGGCACCAGCGGGCGGGGCACAGGGAGGAGGGCAAAGACCCGGGCACCAGTGTCTCTGGTGGGGCCTGTGACGGGCAGGATGGCTGTTCACACCTTGACTTCATCGTCCTCTTCCTCCTCCTCATCGGCATACTCGAAGGAATTGCTGCGGCCCCCTCGGGCACCGCTGTAGCTTTCCTGCAGGCTGGAGAGCTTGGTCTCCTCCTCCTCCTCTCCTTGGCTCCAGCTGGCCTCTGGGGACCGGCTCTCCCTTGTCACTTGCGACCCCCACAAGCTGCTGCTGGGGCTCTCCCAGGGGGTCTGTGTCCGGGCCTGCCGGGGACCCTCACCCTTCTCCGAGCTCCGCGGGGTGCTGGCCCCGCCGTAATGGCGGGCCAGGACCTGGGTTGCTCGGTCGAATTCTCCAGCCTCAATGGTGCAGTCGTTCCAGTGGCCTTGCCACGGGGACCCTCTGGACACCGCCCCTGGCCCTGAAGCCCAGACAGAGTTCGCTCCAGCGCCTTCAATGGCACGTGCCTCTCCGTTGGCATGGACCGACAGGCCCGGCAGTGAGCTGGCCCCGGACAGGTTGCTCTGCCTGGAGTGGTCCCAGAAGCTGGATGCTGCCTTGTCCTCTTCTTGGGGTGCATGCAATGCTGGAGGGACCCTGTCCTTGGTCCCCTCTTCACACAGGAGGTGTGGGCCATCCTCCCCCACCTCGCTGCCATTGGTTTCAGAGAAGCTCATCACCTGGAGGAGCTCGCTCATCAGGGAGGGCCCCAGGTCTAGGCGGAAGGACAGCAGGGAGTCGGAGCGATCCAGCTCATCTTCCCCAGGACAGGTGCTCTCTTGGGCCTTTTCCAAGCGAGGGACACGAGGGATGGTACAAAATCCAGACTCCAGCCCTGTGAGGCAGAAGGTATTGCTGGTGAGGGAGCAAGCCTGACTTACTTCTGCAGGGGACAAGGGACACTGCTGACGAAGTGGCTCAGGTCATGCTCCTGTCAGTGGCACTGGCCTCTAAAGGACAGGTCAGTGTCTCTGTGGACATCTCCAAAGCCCAGTGTTACATCAGAGGGTCTCCAGGTGGGCTCTGGGCTCGGTAAGATGGCAGTGGGGGCTGAGCCAGGCAGGTGAGACCAGGAGATGGCAGCATTGCCTCAGCCTGCCTTTCCCTGGGAGCCCGGCCAGCTCCCCTGGCTGCTGCAGGCACCCCAGATCCAACCCCCACCCCAAGACCTTCTGCTCCAGACCGCCCTCCCTGGGGAAAAGCTGAGCACAGCCCAGTGCTGTGAGGCTGGAGAGGAGCCACACAGATGTCCTGTCCCGTCCTTCCCACAGCCCGCCTCCAAAGGGCACCCTGGCTGGCAGGGAGGGATGTGGACACGATGGAGAAGGGTGGATGGAATCCCTAAGGAATAGCACATGGTGATGTAGAGTTTGGCACAGCTAGGGACAGGGTTAGAGCATCTGTGTGGAGGTGGGGAAGGCCATGCTGTGGGTCCCCTTAACCTCACACCCTTGGAGTGGGAATTGCTCCACTGTCCCAGCACCTTTTTGGCTTCCTCAGGGAGGCTGCTCAAGTGAAAGGTGTAGGGCTGAGGGTAGATGGGGGGTGCTCCCTTACAGCTACTGCACACAGGCTGCCAGCTGTAAGGGAGGAGAGGGACAGAAACAGAGAAACCATCCCTGCCCTGCTTAGACGGACACCCTGGGAGGAGACCTTCCAAGGGCAGGAGCAAGGACCGTGGCTCAGAGCCAGGTTAGGTTTATCTGCTTGGAGGGATTGTCAAGACCGGGCAGTCTTAAATATCCCATCTCTCCTTAAAACCCTAAGTTCCTCAGTGGGGAGGAAGCTGGGGCATGGAGCAATGGAGAAGGGCTGCAGAGGATGCTCAGTACCCGGGCACCACCTCTGCCTCACGCTTCACTCACCGTAGGCCTGGTGTGTTTTGGAGAAGCTGTTGGAGGCACTTTTGAAGGAGAACTTGCTGGTCAGGCCCCGGCCGCCGCTGCCTCCGTCGTACATGCCCTCATTGAGCTGCGGCAGCGACACAGCGTTCTTGATGATGGGCGAGACGGCCGGGGGCGCGGGCGAGGCCCCCACCTGGCCCCCGCTGCCGCGCCGCCTCAGCGGGCTCCGGCGCACGTGCCGCAGCGTCCGGGCGAAGAAGTTGTTGGGCTTGGCCGCGTCGGCCCCGCCGTGGTTGCTGAGGAAAGAGGTGTCCCCGAAGACGTCCCCGCCGCGGCCCACGTGCATGGTGTGCCGGAAGTCGCCCAGCGGCGGGCTGATCATGTCCGGCGTCAGCTCCGACTTCAGCCGCCGCTTGCCGTGGGAGCCTGACACCCAGCTCAGCACCGGCAGCTTCCCCAGGCTCATGTTGCACCCTTCACCCTGCCTTTGAAAAAGCTCCAAAAATCAGCCCTCACCAGGCTTCCGGCACTGGGGTGGCCTGTCACATCCCCAGCCGCCCCACTGCTTGTGCTCCGATGCTCTTGGGGTGACAGTGCATGTCGTTTGGCTTTCGGCAGTTTCCTGCTTCCCTAAGCTACGTCGCGCTCATGAAATCACCCTCAGAGCGTACGTCCTCAGTGGAGAGGACAGCGGTGGCACGCAGATGTCCCCAGGGGGTGTCTGGGTCACCCCCGTTCTGCAGAGGTCACCGGAAGC